CCAGCCCTCCTCTCTGTCAAAATCAAACCAGTGAATGACAGACTAACAACGTCCTCTTAATGTCACCGCTAGCACCCACGTGACTCCCATTACCCATCACCATAGCAACCAAACAAATGAAAACCCAGTGAATGTCAAAATTCAATACATTTCATTATGGCTCCTACACAGACTGATCCCAATATCAATAGTATGGATAACAGCAGTGGTATTGGTATTCGATTCGTACTAGTACAACATTATGAATTGATTGTTGTGGAAAGTAAAAATGAATACAGTGAATTGGTCATTAAATGTGTTCAGAACTAGCAAATTGTTGATGGTTTGTTACATAAGTCAGGTCACACTGCTCTCTTCTACATAAGCTGCCTTTATAAAATCAGTATCTGATCAATACCAACATTTTTAGTATTGCACGCCATTAAAGGTGTGTGACATGACCTGTACTCAATTAAGCCACGCCCACATAGAAATAAACCTTCAAGTTTACACGAAAAACACAAAATCTTGCAGTACAAAATAATCTACAGCCTACTGCTGTGACTTTGACAATCATATTAGATGGAATCACTGAAAAGTTCATTCAATTCTGCTTTCAGGTCTTTCAAAGTCTATCATAGGAAAGTTGTGGCTCCCCGTGTCTACTTTGAAATGAAAGATTAAAGTCGCACAGATGTCCCAGTGCCTTTACTGAGATTACCGAGTCCATTTTAGCTAATCAAATCAGCAGAGTCACAATAGACATCAGCTGTAGTCCAATCGCTCTAATTGTGGAGGCAGCTTGCGAAAGGTTTTGCTGTCTGCCGTGAAACACTTCGAGATACCACAGTCCATCCCCACTATTTTTTCCACGAATAATCACAACAATTACAGAATTATTTTCTTACTTTTTTTAATCTCTAGCAGAACATTTGTTGTAGTTATTTGCTCTTCCGTGACATAAGCGGCTGCTGTCTGAAATAATTGATTGAAATCACGGAGCGTCTAAATGATGGGCAATTGCCCACACTCCTCAGAGGTGGAGCTTTTAAAGCCTGCCTCTACCTCTTAATGATTTGCAAGAGGAAGAAAAAAAACCACACACACACACACACATCATCTGTAAGACAAGATTAACCTCGCAACCGTTTTCAGTACTGTGAAAGTAAGATGCATGCAAACGGGCAGGGGTGGACGCTGCTCTGGGGGCTCTCGCTTTGCGCGCACTGCGAAGCGTGTACACTCCTCACCTCATCTCATCATCCGCGTCTCTAAACCTCCCTACTCACTCTCCCGCTCTCTCTCTCTCTCTTTTTCTCGTTCACAGAAGCTATTTTAACTTTGCAAAGACGACAGAATTTCAGTGGCCAAATGGCTTATTGAAGAAAGCGACCTTCAAATTTATAGAGGAGAGAAATTACGATACTGTGGCAGGCGGCAGTGGGTTTCTTTTTTTTTTTTCCCGAGCGATTGGCCATTTCTTCAAATGAGAAAGTCTGAGAAATGTCTTTTTCTGTGGGCGACACCATCAGCATCCGAGCCATAATGTACAGGCGAAAACAAGCCAGTCTTTGCGTCCTTCAAACAATATCTGGATTGACGAGAACTCAGAGGTAAGGGGAAAAATATATATAAATCGTTAAAGCGTAAAGAACATTCTTCGGTTATTTGTTAAAAACTGCCTTTTAATAGTGTGCGTTTTTTAAGGCTTTTTTATTTTTATTTAATTGTCTACAGTAAACTCTGTGCACCCAGACGGCTCTTTTACGTGAACACACATGTTCATGTTTAAGTTATAAATAGAAATAAGTAATGAATATGTCGCACTGCCATGTATTCTGTGATGGAGGATGTAGGATGATGCTGATGAAGAACTCTCCGCACAGTTTCCACCTGCGATTGCTGGACCAAAAAAAAAAAAAAAATCCTTTTCCTTGTCTTTGTGTGTTTTTAAGTGAGAAGTGCTTTTGGCATGAAGTCATCAAGTCATTCTGTGACCTCCTACTGTAACAGCGCCTTTTGGTTCTTTTGTCCCTCTGCAAATAGACTAGAACACTTGGCCAAAGAATGCACCAGGGTCATTTTTACCTCATAAACATAAACAAAGGGAACCAAAGTGATGATTCTGTGTGCATTCAGGATATTTTGTTGTTGTTGTTGTTATTGTTGTTATTATTGTTGTTGTCATGCATGTAGTTAGTTATGGTTTGCGATACTCTAGCAGCTGTTACACAGTTATAGTTATATCAGAGATTTAGTAGTGAGGGCAAAATAAGGGGGCATACAACAGGAGTGCAAGAGCATGCACTCTAACCCACACACTTACACACTTGCACACTCAACACACCCGCACACAAAAACTAACATTACTTCAGATGACTTAAGCCTAACACACACCAACATTAAATCAAGTCATTATATGTGTGGTTTTGCTTTTTGCGGCAGCTCCCCAAAATGTGCCTGTGCAAACAGATTTATGGCCCTTCTATGAGTAACACACACACACAACACACACACACACACACACACACAGATAGAGAGACTGCCCCCTCCCTCTGATCTACCCCCAGTGCCTTTAATAATTGGGGTAGCACAAGCAAAGTCAGGCCTGATCTCTGCTTTAACTGCTTTAATAGCTGGAACTGAGAAAAGTGGTACGTTTCAGCTTCCACCTTGTCTTGTTTTTATTGTTTGTTATTTTTTTTTGTATTTTTTAAAAGGATTCATTCTGTTACTGTACATTCATTCATCTGTCTATCTGCAGAATAACGAGCACGTTTAGAAATGAGTGCTACAGACTAGAAACAACCTAAATTTTGCTATCATCTGCTAATGGAGATGCTGATCAATAGGCAACAACAAAGGCAACTTAGCCAGAGCCTGCATCTCATAAACAACAAAACACTCCAGCAGAGGCATACACGGCTGCTTTCTGCAACACCCAACCAGTGAATTATTCAAACACGTAACAGAGATGGTGGATTAACATACTGAAGAACACTTTAAATCAACCAACAAAGGTGTGGAAGACAGTAAGCCAGATGATGAGCTCAGGGGCTTCAGAGGAGCCCTGACGTCTATGTTAAAGGGTACTTGCTAAGGGTTTAATGCTTTATCAGCTCACAGATAGACATGCAGACAGACGGGACAGCAGTGGCTGCTGTAACAGGAATAGGCTTCAGATTAATTTCAAGTGGATTATGACATTTTACACAGTCTCCTTTGAAGATAATAGTTCATAAAAGGATCAGTCAACATGGTGTTAAGTCAGTTACTTCACTTCGTCATTTTCTGTCTCCTAATCTGTCAGTGGACCTTCACGTGCTGAGGCCGGGAGTAAGGTTCACTGACAAATGTAGCCTATGTTGGTATTTGCGTTTTCAGCAATAAGATCTCGTGCATTATCCCGATTTGTGATCATCAATAACTGCCGGGCGCTACCTTATTATGCATATTATATGCCAGCCGCTGCCTCTAAATGAAATTACGGGAAGATGAAGTTGTTGTTGTCGGGTGCAGCGAGCAGATCTCTACATGCGGTGCACAGGAAAAGCTGTGAGAGACGGAACGGATTGGTAAACATGGCCGACGGATGAGACACATTGGTATTCAGCTGCTCTTCGCCGCCGGCTGAAAATGCCCACGCTTGGCTTCAGGGTCAGAGGTCCAAGGTTGATTGGCAATGGGCTGACATGGGAAAATTGATTGTGCTGACTGGAGTCTAATGGGGTTGGAGCGCACAGACGTATCAGCGCGTCTGACATGTTAGCAGTGCCACAGCCTCATTCTTACCCTCACACACCTGTATTCTTACAGGTTGTTCTCTAATCTTTTAACCCCTTGTCAGACACCTCTGAGATGTTTTACACGGCAGCACTGCAGCACACAGGCCCCCTCTTGTGCTGTCGCTCTCATGCTGAACTGTTTCCCTTGCAACAACGATTGCTCTGCCTCATTCGCTTTCAGCCATACCTCCCAGCTCCTTACGACTCCATAACCTCTGCTGCCCGCCAACATGCCCGAATGCACTCGACCGGAGAATCGCACAAAAGTGTGATCTCTCTCTCTCGCTTTCTCCCACCCATCTTCTCTCCCTGTCTCTTTGCTACTCTCCCTTCCTTTCCAAACACCTCCACCCACTCATACACACGTTTATTTACTCACAGCCGCACACGCGCAATACACATCCTCCAACAAACAAATGTGCGCACATAAATAAACACACAAATCTGTTTTTATTTCTTCAGCATTTATCATCATCCATACTGAGTTGTCTTCGGCTTGCACTAAAATACTGTATTCACACTTTAATTCCTGTTTGCAGCCAAATAACCCTTGCTCTGCACCAGCATTGTGGCAGCAATGTATTTGCAAGGATGACAGCACCAAAAAGATTACTCGGAGCATCCCTAAGTAATGACACGAAAAGTAATCCGCTGTCAGCTCATAGCTTTGTGCAGAGTGGGAGTTTTTACAGACGCAAAAGCTGGGAAGTTTAGAGGAAATGTTTTTTTTTGGGCTGTGTGCATCACAGCCCATCGTATCTCGTTCCTCAGCCCACGTCAGAGTGAATTATTTAGCATTTATTTTTGCATTAGCTGATGCACTGGTGTGTTTGGACACAAAAGAAAGCAAAATGTTAATTTGTGTCACAAAATCTTGTGTACCTTTTTGGAAGATGAAAATCCCATTTAGCCGTTATTGGAGCAAATTCACTCAGTGACGCAAACTTTGCGTTTTTAACAAAAGAATAGCTGTAGTTTTGAAGTTAGCTGCTAATTGTTTTTGGTAAATACGACAGATTTTTGTCTGTCCAAGCTGATTTTTGGTAATGTTACTTTTAACGGGGAAAAATGCTCCCGTCTGCCGCTGTGATTGCTGGTCTGATTACATTTACATTTGCTAAAATTTTAGTTAGAGTTGGTTCCAAACGTATTAACAGCAAATTCAATTGTCTTTTTTTATGTTACTCTAGCTTTTAATGGACTCTGTTCAATTCTATTTCATTTAAAGAGCGTCAAATCACAACCACAGTCACCTCAAGCTGCTTCCTCCAGGACATATAGGAAGGAAGGGGCAACCTCCCTAACTTGCCTCCCACCCCCAATAAATAATGATTAAATGCAGAGTGGTGTATAAACACATAGTGAGTAATGAAAGAGGAATGAAGAAGAAATACACAGTGCATTGCGGGAAGCTTAACAATAAAAGTAAAGAGGGTGTTTGTCTCCTGAATCCCAAACTGGGAGCCTGTTCGACAGAAGAGGAGCCTGAAAGCTGAAGGCTCTGCCTCCTACTCTACTTTTAAATATCCTAGAAACCACAGATAAGCCAGCAGTCTGAAAGTGAAGTGTTCTGTTGGGGTAATGTGTTCTATGAGGTAGAGTGCACTCCAATTCATCTGGCAGATTTAGTAAATGTAGCGATGACATAACCCCAATAACCACCTCCCACCACCACCATAAGTTGTATACCCAACCAGTCACTGGTTGAAGGGTACATACAATTTCACTCAGCTGAGGTTTCATTCAACTTGGCCTTGAACAGAGCCTACTTACTACTATAGCCCCTTGAAGCTCTCAGGCTTGGTGGCTGTCCCACATGATTATGGTAATCGCAGCTGTACTTTAGTATTAATGCAGTCGTGATTTATTGATGTTAAAATGCTATTTGTGGCCCCTTTAAGTCTTGATCCTTTGATGTCCTTTGACATTTTGAAAACACTTGGACGTGGGGTGTGTTATGTAACGCTTATCACTCACTCCCTGTTGGAACCAATTAATATAAAGCAGTACAAATACTAAAATATAAATTAACTTTGTGTCCACAAAATCTGCATGGATTATTCATTAACCCCACCAGGGAGATTGCAGATGATTTTCAGCAATGCTTGTAGCTGTCAGGGCTGCTGGCTGTAGATTTTTGACACTTAAGCACACATGGGTCAGAGAGCATCCTGCTGCTTAAACAACAGCGCGTAACACACACAACATCAGCATCTAAAGTATTTGGCAATCCCAGGGCCGGCTCATCTTTTTTTACAAGGTACTCACAGTTTTATCTGACGAACTGAAGAAGTATGTGATCCCCAGGGCTATGCACGGACCAAAAGGAGCACTGGCACGGAACAACAATGTCAGCATATTCAGATGCAGGAGGTCCAACAGGGAGCAACCATGGAAACTTTGCTGGCTGTCCAGTGCTTACAGAGCTTCAGGAAATCTGGGAGCATGGGGCTCGTGTTTTATTCATGGCGCAGAAAACATAAAAAGGATAGCTAACAAAAATCCTACATCGAGGTAATTTGAGGAAGCGAAAGAAAGAAAACTGCAACATATAAAGTAAATAAGGGAAGGGGAGTCGGGGAATCTGAGAAGGAAGTGATGAATACGCAACAAATTAAAGAGTGAAACAGAGTATGATAAGGAAGCTGTTACATACAAAGCATGGATGGAGGAATAAAGAGAAGAAATGTTAATAGAAAGAGTCTTTAGATGATTCTAAATCAGTTTCCCCTCCACGAACCTGAGTATGTTGGACTTTTATAGGGGCTTTTGTTCTTTTGTTCTAGAGTTTATTCCAAAACAACTGCCTGTTTTGAGATGAATTATTTGTCAGAAAAAAAACAAAACAAAGCCTAAATATTTTCACAACTTCTCCTGATCATCGCTCATCTTCCTCTAAGGGAAGAATAAATGTATGGCACAGAACACAAAAGCCACACAGTATGAAGAATTAGACGTTATTCTAATATGATCACCAGTGCTTTACAACCACAATCAATCTACAAAGAAAGCGCACGAATCTTCCGTGACATTATTAACCTATGAACTGACAGACTATTATCCTTATCCCATCACCATAATGCCAGTTTGCATTTTGTGTAATCCTGTTGTCTTCAATTGGAAATACATTACCTTCAAGCATTTAGAAATACGCCAGCAAGCCAGATATACATGATTGGGGTCACGACCCCCCAGAAATAATCTGCTCTTGGCATTTCTATTTTAAACGCAGATTAATCAGACGAGAGTTCAGGGTGCCGACTGGGAGGCAGAAAACTCTGGACTATTTTTGCAGTATGGAAATAGCTGGGAGGAGGGGAAGTTTGTAATTTGGTCTGGATTGCTTTTTAGGGCTGACTGAGGCCTATAAGTCTGGTGTTAAGTATTTGGTCCATCCTCTGAAGCTCACACTTTTCTTAGCTTTGCACTGCATCAATATTATACATTTTTATAACGCTAATAATCAATGTTGGCTTCAGTATTACAAGCCTGTAGCTATTTAAGGCTGCACATCTGCAGTATACATTCATGGCAGAATCCCAGATTATTAAACAGATATAACAGCTATATTTATATACATAGTTTCCTGCTCCTAAAATATAGATATATGGAAGCCAATTACAAATGTAATTTATGTCTGGATATAAACTTATGAGAAACTGTTTATTAAAGTATAATATTTAAGAATGTTGAATTCAAAACTCACTTCTAATCTGCAAGTTTATACACAATCAAAATAAGAATTATTTTAAAATCTGCATTTACATGTATCCAACTTGAAGTCTACTCAAACACCAGGTAACTCCTTTTAACACGGGATCATTATTTGCTCCCTTACTAATGAGGCCATTTAAGTCTTTGGGAACTTTCTGCATGTTCCCTTATTTCTCAAAGGGTCTCTACAGTGAATGTATCCACATGTTTGATTTGGCACAGATTTTATACCATATTTTTCGAGTGTAAGATGAATGTGTGAACCACTATTATGAATCATCACAATACAGTTACAGAATACTAGCCAATCATTTTTAATGCTCTACCCGCTGTGTTATTTTATTTATCGTACATTTGTACATTTCATAGCCGACGTGTAACTGATTTTAGTATAATGAGTCATAAATTTATACATACATGGGAGCCTTCTGAGCTTTATATGGGCAGGAGGCCTCAGCTTATCAGGATCAGACCGTGACAGTAATGACACCCCAATCATCTCTATAAACAATGTAGAGATAAAAATCAAATTAGGTGGACAGAGAACACATGGACACTGATGGTGGAGGTTGATATTTTTAGTAGATGGAAATTTCTATGATGTACTGCTGTTAATACTCCAGTGTGTGTGTGTGTGTGTGTGTGTTCATGTTATTTTATGTGTCTAGAGCAAGGAAGCAAATTAAACTTAACTGAGTCGTCTGCAGGGTGCACCTCTCGACAAGCAGAATGTTGTAAAATGTCTTTCTGCTGAGGAAACGACAGCTAAACTTTGATCTGATGTGAGCGAGGTTTGAGTAACTGCTACCTGCTGGTACACGACAAATAAAATTCTCCTTCCAAGTTTTCCACTGACTCTAAAAACGCTCCCCCTCTCTATTGCTGTTTCTTTTTCCTCTAGGTCTCAGAGTGCTTAATGCCATTAACTCCTTCACTGACATAAACCAGTCACCGAGGAGCCTCTTTCACATCACTTTTTCATCTCCCTGCTGTCACCGAGAAGCTCCTTCCACTTTTTTTTTTACCCCTGCTGATTATGGAGAATCTCAGTGAACTCCAAAATCCATTGCTGGACAAAAACAGTAAACACATGATCAATGGTTACGGAGGAGAATTCCCCAACAATCATTACCAGGAAAACATTATAAACTACTTTGCTGGAGGAGGAGGTGGAGGTGGAGGAGGTGAAGGTGGAGGAGGAGGAAAAGTGAGTAATGGCAATGCAGTGAGCGGAAGTTACAATACCAACGGGAAGGTGAAATCCCAGCAGTTTTTGGATGCCACCTCGCTACATCTGGCAGTAGAAGCCTTCTACAGACCCAATTTCATCCTATACAAGGAGGACAGTGGCAGCATTAAGGCTAAGGAATACAGAAATGAGTGCTGTGAGACCACCTTCACTGAGAAAAAGGAAAAGGAGGTGTCTAACACAACTGGGGCAGACACGCCCAGCACGGAAGAACCCCAGACGAAGCTGCTGGAGGACGGCGAACACATCAAGATCCAAACGGTTTCCTATGAGGTGGAGGAGGAGGAGTATGTGGAATATGAGGTAAGGGCAAAAAATGCATGGAAAGACAATGCATGATAGAAAGCTTGCATTATTTTAGATACTTTTTAAAATTTGCTCTGTTCTTAACAAAAAGCACGTAGAACTCAAATTAAAATAGAAGAATCCAAAAGTAATAAAAAATGAACTTGTTTAGCGCCTTTCAAGAAACCCAAGGATGCTTTACAAAAGTATATAAGTAAATAAAAAGGCTACAGGGTGAAGGCTTTGTTGAAGAGATTATTTTTGAGAGGTTTCTTAAGAGTTCAGTGTGGGGTGTTTCAAAGTTCAGATTACAGAGAGTTGCAGAGGGTGGGGGCTGCCACACTGAAGGCTCTGTCCCCAGAGGTGTGGAGGGTGGTGCGAGGGACAGAAGTAGGCCCATTGCATTAGAGACTGTTTGTATGGGTGCAGCAGGTCAGATAGGTACCGAAGGACCAGAATGTTGAGGGATTTGTAAGTGAATTGTACCGAATAGTACCATATATATAATATTTTAATATACATATAAATTTCAGTTCAGTCATTCATAGACGCATGTGCAGTTGTTCTGTTTGGTAGGAAAAATCCAAAGCAGGCAGCTAATGTGGGTGTGCATGTGTTTCTGTTAATTGACAGCAAGCTTGCTTGTATTCCTGTGGTAGATCTGCATTTATAGCATCACACCAAAGGATTGAGCTTAGCTCCTGGATCAGTCTGCCATTTTTACTAAACACAAATCCGTTTGATCCACTGACCTTGGCCTCAATTCCCAACTTGTGTAAAATTCATCGTTAGATAATAATAAATCACCCATGTCTGCCTCACACAGAAATATTAGGTACCACAGCTTTAGCCACAGTATTTTCACTCTCAACCGACATGACCAATAGCACAAAGCACTCCAAAGGATTTAGGGGATTGGACTGGTGGAATAGGGTGTTAAGAGTCGACCAGTGTCCTGCAACGCTTAATGGACTGGCTGCCACACACCTGAGTCCACTAGAATGAACCTGGACTGCAGTGATAAACATGCAGCTGCAGAAATGCTACGTGAAATGGGTATATATAGCTCATAGGATAAGAAATAGAAACTGGGGAAGGGAGGAATGTAAATGATTAACTGAAATTTGGATTTTCTGGATTTTATTTGCTCTTGGCATTTGCACATCAAATTTTTTCCTCAGCTCATCCTGGCAGGATGAATGCCAAGAGCAAATAAAATCCAGATTTCCTGATGTGAAGGTTTATTCCATTGTAGTTGTAGATTTGCACACAAAATAAGAGCGAATACATGAGTTACAATTCTTACTGAATTCACACAAATTCTCTATTCATAGATTTCTAGAGGTTCCTTTCAACCCACTCAAAGGTTAAGCGAACACATTACCATATAGTTCATATTTTTCCACACACTTCCTGTTTAAAAATGAACAAGAACCTCAGCCTCCCCGGGAAAGTCTATGCCAGGGTGCTGGAAAGGAGAGTT